TATGGAGGGATGGTCACTGGGAAGAGGTAACTATGGGGAGGAAGTGGGAGGGGAGCTGTTGCATTGTGGTAAACTGTGGTCACTGACATGAGACAAAGTATATGTGAACTGCTGTATGGAAAGTGAATTTGCTCTGTAAATCTTCACCCAAATCACAATAAAAAAACCCCCTGAAAATAAAAAAAAAAAAAAAGAATTTGACATGTCTTTTATAGTTTTCTCCCATTCTTTCAGGATTCACCTTTTAGTTTCCTTATTTCTTTTGGTCATCTCTGTTTTATAAAAATCCTTTCCTTTTTATAGGAATTAGTATGTCCTATTCTCTGTTTCAGAAGATGGATGGTAATGCTAGAGTTCATTCTTTGTAGAGAACTGTGCTTTTGTCCTTTCATGGCTCTCTCTCTTCCAGTTTATTTAGTGCTTCTGTTTTACAAAGTGATTTCATATAGTTAGTTAGCCTCATCTTTTTAGCAACTGTGAGGTAAGTCTGGTAGGTATTAGTACCCCACGTTATGCAGAAGGCGAAGTTAAGAGAGTCAAACTTGTAATGGGCGGGTATTGTACTTGAACCATTGTCAATCTTGTTTCTGGTTTAATACTCTTTATTTTGTACCTTGGAAGGAAGACTGGGTAATCTACTTCTGTAGAGATGCCGCCTTGGAAGTCCAAGGAAGGGTTACTATGAGTCGAAATCGACTTGACCCCAGTGAGTTTGTTTTAGTTTTTAACATCTTAAAGAAAAATAAGATATCTCCAAAATGTTTTCTTGACAGATACTGAGTTTTTTTTTTTTTTTTTTTCCTGGCTTGTGTTTTGGATCATCTAACCTGTCAAGATTGACTTGTATCTCAGAGGAACATTTTGTTTAAAACAGCTCTAAATTATATAAATTTCCATTTTGAGAAAAAATACCATCAGTATGTTGAGATAATTCTTTTCATTTCTCATATATTTAAGGTCCCTTGGTCTTGCTGTGGCACCACGAGTAAGATTTCTTCAGAAAATGCAGAAACCCACCAAGGAATTGCTAACGAGCCAAGCTAATAACGTAATTAAGCCAAGGGCTCCTTCCCTTACCAATGATGAAGTGGAAGAATTTAGAGCATATTTCAGTGAGAAAATGTCCATCCTTCAGAAAGGTGGGAAAAGATCAGAAGAGACAGAATACAGACTGGCTAATGGTATTAGTGACGAAGAAGAGGAAGAAGAAGAGAAGGAAGATGAAGAAGAAATAGAATCGAAAGTGGGAAAATCGAAAGGTTCTCAAACTGTTTCTAACACCAATGAGACCCAGAATATCAAGGATGTTCCTATGCAATTCATGGACAAAGTTGAAGAGGATGACGATGAACCTGATGCTGATTTGTTTAAGGTGAAGCAGTACAATGTGTTTGGGTTGGAACTTAAAGAGAATACAGCATTACAGGTAAGTGTACTCCCAGTGAAGGGTCTTCTGTTATTTCTCTTCTTTCTACTGTGTGCTAATTTTTGCTTCTTGGAAACTATGAGAAAGTATGAACTAGGAGAAATGTACAGAATGACTTTTTTTTGTAATGAACTACCCAACCACCCTTTACATTTAAACAAAGAGTAGATGCAGACTGTTCTCATATTTTTCATAACTTTGGGATCTCTTAAGAGGTTGAAAGCTTTAATCTTCTCATTTACTGGTTTTCTAGTCAAAGTCATGGTAGTAACATCAAGGAAGGTGATGGATTCCATGGTTTATGGTGTGCAGATTCTTCACTGTTATTCTTAACATACTGCTTTCTGATTTAAATCATTACAAATGTTCCTTGTGGTAATTTAATCTCTCTAACCATGAATTGTACTCTTAATTGAGACATTTACTTTTGGGAACCATGCCAGTGTCTTAAATAGAAAGCAAGTACTTCTTTATAAAGGGCACTTATGAAGGCTTATTAAAACATTACATGTAGGTCCTTTGTTTCTCTAGTAAGTAAGTACTTGCTAGGAGGAACAAAAGGTTTAATCCTGATAAAACGACCTGTTTTTTTTGGTACTTGTAGGTACACAGTAAATGTGTGTTTCTCTTCCTCCTCTACTATGACCCTTTCTCCTTTGTATGCCTTTATTTCTGACTATTTCTTTAAAGATAATTGAATGCCAACTCTTATTCTTTTATGGTGTTTAGTAACATGCTAAACGTTGTATGAACTGTATATTGAAATTTGAACTGTGAAAGTTGGAAAGGTGTTTAAGTAACTAAATACTGAAAAAAACATAATGAATGTAATTACTGAGGAGCTCTGGTAGTGTAGTGCTTAAGGCACTTGACTGCTAACCAGAAGACTAGCAGTTCAAACCCACCAGCCACTCCTCGGAAGGAAGGTCGGGCAATCTATTTCCATAGTGTTACTGCCTCGGAAACCCGAGGAGGGGTAGCTGCGAGTCGTGTCTTACTCGATGGGCACATAACCACAACAACAACATACTTATTGAGCACTTAGTATGTATTAGGCTACTTCATTAAGCATTTTCTAAATATTATCTCATTCTGTCCTTGAGGAACTCCATGAGATAGGAAAAAGGCTTGGAAACCTTATTATCTCATTTACAAGTGAGGAAAAAAATAGGCCCAGGTAATAAAATAAAATAGGCCCAGGTAATAAAATAGTGAGTGGCAGCATTATTTGGACCATAAGTATTTTGACTTTGTAGGGGGAAGAAGTGGCAGTCTTTTTTTGTAAAAATGTACAGCCTTGGAAACCCTATGGGGCAGTTCTACTCTGTCCTATAGTGTCACTATGAACCAGAATTCAACTTGATGGCGGTGGGTTTGGTTTTTGGTTTATTCAGACTTTAGTGTCTGTGTTCTTGACCAATAATCCTGTGCTGTTTTATGTACTTCAAATTTAGCCATTTTAAGTTTGCAGTTAAATCTGATTTTACCAAGTGAAATAAAGACCAGAAACTAGATTTTGTTTTAAATTATGTAGCGAGCGCTGGTGGTGTAGTGGTTAAAGCGCTTGATTGACAACCATAAAGTAGTTGTTTTGAACCTACCAGCTGCTCTGTGGTAGAAAGGATGTGGTAGTTTGCTTTTGTAAAGATATACAGCCTTGGAATCTTCATGGGGGTAGTTCTGCTTTGTCATAGTTTGGGGGGTTGCTGTGAGATGGAATTGACTCAGTGGCAGTGGTTTTGGGTTTTTAAACTATTGAGTCAATAAACTTTATAAGAAACTATCAATTGTTTTCCAAACTGATGGTTCCATTTTGTATTTTTGTCATCAGTGTGTAAGAGTTTAGTTATGTTACATCCTTGTCAGTACTTGGTATTGTCAGTCTATTTAATTTTAGCCATTCTGACAGGTATGTGAGGAACTCTGTTGGTGCAGTGGTTAAGGCCTCAGTTGCTAACCAAAAGGGTGGCAGTTCAAATCCACTGGTTGCTCTCTGGAAGAACACTCTGGCAGTCAGTGTCCATAAAGATTTACAGCCTTAGAAACCTATAGGGAAGTTCTTCTCTGTCCTGTGGGGTTGTTATGAGTCAGAATTGACTTGACAGTAGTGGATTTTTTAGTAGGTATGCAAAATTGCACAGGCAATGCCTGAATGAAACGAGTTACATTCTTAGGTCTGTTTTTAAATCAAACTAGTATGTAACTTGGAACGTTTAGGTGTGGTTCGTGTCTAATAACAGTTACTCAAATATTTGCCTCAGTATATAGTATGTAGTATACAATTGTATGCATTAAAAAATTAAATACTTCCAGACACACTAAAACATCTTTAATGTAATAATACTGTAATGATAATACTGTTTTGATATCTGCTGCAAAGTAGTGCCCTTTGTTATTGTGAACTATTATATGTACGTTGAGGTGGTAGAATGCTATTGGGTAGGGTGCAGGTGGTTGTGGCTGGTTGCTGCCATCGCCAGCTTGAAAATACCTGTGTGTCTCATAGTGCTGGTGCTGGTGGAGCAGTGTGGCCCAAAGCCTGTGGATCTGCTGCTGTGCTGCAGCAACTTCCAGCCTTGAGGCTTACCTGTGCTGCATGGCCATGTTGCCCAAGTACCCCCACATACCGAACTACAGGTGAGGGACCGGCTTTGGACCTTAGACACTGTGGAGGTAGGTATGACTAGCTAGCAATGAGAAGAGAACCTGGGCTGGGTTCCAGTTTCCTTATGCGACTAACTGATTAGCTGCTTCCCTTGAGTCCTTGTCTTTGTTCATGCTGTGTTAGCAAGGCCTAGCACTCGATAAATGTCATTTTCCTTCTTTTTTTCCCCCTGCCTTATCAATTCCACAAGGGATTGCAGCCTGAGGGGAGTGAATTAGAACTCATGTAGAAAGTGACAGATTGAAATATGTGCCTTGTTCTTAGTAGAACTCCAGTACTAATTCATTTAATTATCCTGGAATTGTCATTGGGTGCTTTATGGGGGTTGGTTCATAATTTTGGGTTGTAGTTAAGTCTAATGTTCGTAAACTGAGAACTGCCTGTAGTTTTAATTTCCTAATGACTAATGATGAACACGCTATGAGTCGGGGCCGACTCAACGCAAATAACAACAACAACAATGATGAACATCTCAAGCTTTTTGCCATCCATGTATCTTCTTTAGTGAAATATTTGTTCAAATCATTCCCTCCTCCCCCTTTTAAAATTGTGTTGCTCATCTTGTTATTATGGAGTATTAAAAATTCTTTTTATATTCTGGATACAAGTCCCTTATATATAAATTTGCAAATACTTCCCCCCAGTCTGTGTCTTGTCTTTATATTTTCTTAACTCTCTTTAAAACAGCAGAAAATTGTAAATTTGCTGAGGTCTGATTTATTAATTTTTCTTTCAAAATTTGTATATATTATGTCATATCTGGTAAATCTTTGGGGAACCCAAGATCACAAAGGGTTTTTCCTATGTTTTCTTCTAGAAGTTTTCTAGTTTTAGCACTTGCATTTAGTACTAGAATTCATTTCAAGTTAAATTTTGAGTGTGATGCTAGGTGAGGGTTGGAATTTTTTTTTTTTTTGCTTATGAATATTTAATTGATCCAACACTGTTTATTGAAAAGACTGTACTTTTTCCATTGAATTAGCTTGATTCTTTGTTGAAAATCAGTTGACGATATATATATATATATATATATATATATATATGTATGAATATTTCTAGTCTTAATTTTGTTCTGTGTCTATCTTTTCAGTAATAACACTTGTATTTATTACGTGTAGCTTTATAGTAAATCTTACATCTATAGTATGAGTCCTTTAACTTGATATTTAAAAAGCTGTTTTGGCTATTTTGGACCATTCCATTTCCATATAAAATTTTGACTCAGATAGTTAATTTGTACAAAAGTATGATGGTATTTTTACTGAAAAGGCATTGAATGCATTTGGGGAGAATTGACATCTTTATGATATTGAGTATTCTAATGTCTCTTTCCATATAATAATTTTAAGTGCACTTATATTGCACATATGTTGTTAGATTCATCACTTAGTATTTATTTTTCATTGTTGTTAGAAATGGTATTTTCAAAGTGTCAGTCTTCAATTATTTGTTGCCATTGTATAGAAATAGATTTGATTTTGTATGGCCATCTCTCTACTTACCTTTTAGTTCTGGTGCTTTTTGTTTTTTGGAGAATTTTTGGGATTTTTCTCTGTAGGTGATTATATTGTTTATAAGCAGAGACAGTTTCATTTCTCCCTTTCCTATATGTATGCATTTCATTTCATTTTCTTACCTTACTATACTGGCCGGGATCTCCAACGCAATGTGGGACTAGCATGGAAAGAGCAGACATCCTTGCCTTAAGTAGAGGGAAGCATTCAGTCTTTTCCCATTCCATATAATGTTAACAGTAGGTTTTTTTCAGATGCCTTTATGAGGTTGAAAAAGTTCCATTCTATTCTTAGGTGGTTTAGTATGTTTTTAATCATAAATGAATGATGGATTTTTGCAGGTGCCTTTTCTTCAACTACTGAAGTGAACGTGTGATTTTTCTTACCTAAGTCTGTTAAGACACAATGACTGATCTTTCCGATGTTGAACCAACCTTTAATTCCTGTGATAAAACCTTCATATTTTTCCATTGTCTGTAATGGAGGATTCCATTTGTTGATATTTTGTTGAGGAATTTTGCTGCTTTTTTCATTGGTTTGTAGTTTTTTCTTATAACTTTGACTTGAAAAAAAAAACCAAAACACATTTTAAAAGCTTTTGATATATTTTGTAAGGGTAGCCTAAAAAGAGCTCATATGTCAGTCATTGTCCTACTAGCTATAAGTGTCAATGCCCATTTAATGCACATAAATCCTGAATATTAACATATTTTTATTGTTTTGAAAAAAAGAATAGAAATGCTATATTGTTTAAATTTGTCTTTTCTTAATATTGTTATTGAATATTATTGGAGCGATTGTTGAACTTTAAAAATCAGTAA